GCTGATCTGGATTGGTAAGAATCCTAGAAATGAGATTAGCTAGGTGAACGTGCTGACCTGTAAGATATAGAAGTGGCTACAAGAGAATAACAGATCAGACATTTCACAGCAACATGGCAGGGTTTGGACTTAGAATTACTTCCAGCAAAGGTCACACTGTGTCAACAGGCAAGATGTCATTCACTTGTCTTACTGAATATAGTAAAGTATGTGTTTGTGATTATAAATCTATTAATATTTATTTTGAGCACTATTTATTTTGACAGTTTTGAGAAACTTCCTGTGGTTTGACTGTTTATTTTATGAGCAGATGATATCCAGATCTCAAAATTACATTCAAATGAGTCATTTTATCAGGGTGAAAGAACACACTTGGCACATACAGGATGCATGCAGGAAAAAAAAAATGCAGTTCCTAAAATGTCATGTGAGAGTTTTTTCAGTCACTTCAGAGACAGGACTGATGGTACTTGCTCCAACACACTGAAATAACTGCTTCACTCAGGTAGGTATCATAAACTTTTTGCTTTCCTCATCTACTTGCCATTTATTATTCTTTACTCCTGAAAACCGCTCTCCCTCCTCCAGTCCCCTTTCCATTTTCAAACCACATTGCAGCCCTTTTAGCACTCTGCAAAATATAGTGTGGGCAGTATCTTCTAATTGATTCATCAGTTTACTTTGGAGTAGGACTTGCATTACTATTTTCAGCATTCCTTGTTTCCTTGTCTTCTTCATACCATTTTCTGTAGCTGTCTGGGGAGGCAGCAGGGTTCAACTCTTGCGGCACTGTTCGCCAGTTGTCCCTCTAAAAGTTGCTTCTACATGGACCAGCGAGACCACAGGAAATGAAACAAACTTGGGAGAATTTTGAATTAAGCCTCCAGCTTTAAGTCAAGCCTTCCAGTAATATTTTTCATAGCTTTCCTTGCAGATCACCCTCACTTACAAATCTCTTAGCCGATATTACCAAAACCTGATACCAAAACCTGATCAATGACGATATTTGTTACAATTGTTTATCTCATTTTCTTCTTAGTGAAGCAGTTTGAACACTTATGCATCACTCCACTTTCAGATTGCATGTTGTGCAAGAGTGAGATTGATGATTTGAATTTTTTTAAAATAATATTTATATTTAGTCCTGCATACAACTATCTCTGGCTGGTATTTAAGTACTGGCATAACAGGTTAAAAAAGGGCCAGTTGTCTTATTTATGTCTTCTCAGTTGCTTCTGCAGGCGGTATTCACCTCTTCCCTATTCAGTTTCCTTGCATTTTGGTAACACTTTTTGGGACCTTTCAGTAATATAACTGCCTTCATCAATTCAGCAAGGGTTTAGTTAACAGGAATTTTATAGACAATTCTATTAATGCCTAAAGGATGAAGATCGAGGTGTTTTTTTTCCTCAATTCTATCTTAGCTTTGCTGGTTTTCTTCTCCTCTCTAAATTTACTAAGTCCAGGATAACTGAGCAATTAACATTTTTCCTCTACTATGGTCATAGTTTAAAATGTCACTTAAGTATGCTGTAGGTCAGCCTCATTGTCTAGCAGTAAGACAGCTCATATCTAAAATGCCTGAAGAACATTACTCTGTATTTTTATTTCTACAAGTAAATATCTGTCCTTCTTAAAGATTCATTTCTTATCTTTCATAGAATCTTAAACCATTAATGTCTTGCCTTTCTCCTGGTCAAGATAAGCTTTCCAAGGAACCAGCAGACAGCTCGGAACACATGTAAGAAAAGGAAGTGGTCACTGGCACTTCCCTAAAATACCACTTAGCCAACAGAATTTATGTCATGTCTGTTCTATTTGTAATGTTCAGAAAGTGAAGCAGGGTTATTTCAGAAACATAGACATTGTTTTCTTAACTGAAATGTACTTCACCAGTTATGCCAGAAGAAATTGCTCATTTTAAAGGAAAGAGGAACTAAAAGTGCTGATTTGCCTTTCTGAAGCAGGAAGTCAACCAGGAAACATATCTGGGGACAGCATGGCCATCTGAATATAGAGCTCCGCTTTGGAGACTAAGGAGAACCAGATGGAAATCAAAGGGATGATAGAGACAGGAGAACATAACTGTATAGAGCCCCCTGTTTAAATAGCAAGCTTACTTACAGGTTTAGCCACTATGAAAATGATGACAGTGTACAACAGGTACACTAGTAACAAATTTGTGTAGGCCAATGCCTTTGTATCCTGACAGCTCTGTACTGTCACCTGACTCAGGGATGCTACAGTAAAGGTTAGGAGAAGAATTTGGGGAGGATGATCACAGAATCACTAGGTTGGAAGAGATCTTCAAGATCAAGTCCAACCCATGCCCTAACACCTCAATTCAACCATGGCATCAAGTGCCATATACAGTCTTTTTTAAACACATCCAGGGATGGTGACTCCACCACCTCCCTGGGCAGACCATTCCAGAACTTTATCACTCTTTCCATAAAAAAAACTTTTCCTAATATCCAACCTATATTTCCCTTGGCACTGCTTAAGCCTGTGTCCTCTCGTTCGGTCAGCTGCTGCCTGGTGAAAGAGACCAACCCCACCTGACTACAGCCACCTTTCAGAAGTTGTAGGGAGTGATAAGGTCACCTCTGAGCCTCCTTTTCTCCAGGCTAAACAGCTCCATCTCCCTCAGTTGTTCCTCACAGGACTTGTATTCCAAACCCCTCACCAGCCTTGTTGCCCTCCTCTGGACACACTCAAGCATCTCAACATCCTTCCCAAACTGAGAGGCCCAGAACTGGACACAGCACCCAAGGGGTGGCCTCACCAGTGCCAAGTACAGGGGAAGAATGACCTTCCTTTTTATTCCTAAGTTCCTTTAAAACCTCATTGCCCATCCAGGCTGGACATTTGCCTTGTTGACTCATCTTTCGCCACACAGGGGCAAAAAGATGTCTCTTGCTGTGCCCTCAAGATCTCTGTTTTGAAGCAGGCCCACCTTTCCAGAACTCCTTTGTTTTTAAGGGCTGCTTCCCAAGGAACTCTTAATAAATCTCCTAAATAGGCCAAAGTCTGCCCTCTGGAAGTCCAATGTAAGAGTCTTATTGATGTTCCTCCTCATTTCACCAAATATCAAGAGCTCTATAATTTCATGATCACTATCCCCCAAGCAGCCTCCAACCACCACGTCTCCCACCAGCCCATCTCTATTTGCAAACAACAGGTCTAACATAGCCCCTCTCCTGGTGGGCTCACTCAGCAGCTGCCACACAAAGTTTTCCTCCACACACTCTAAGAATTCCCTGAACTGCCTCCTTTCTGCTGTGTTAAATTCCCAGCAGATGTCTGGTAGGTTAAAGTCACCTTACAAGAACAAGGGCTGGTGATTCTGAAACATTCTCCAGCCGCTTATAGAATAAATTGTCCACTTCCTCCTGGCTGGATGGACAATAACAGACCCCAGTAGGATGCCAGCCTTGGCCTTCCCCCTAATTCTCACCCATAGGGACTCAACTTCATTGTCACTAGTTTCAATACCCATGGCATCAAAAGCCTCGCTAAGATAAAGGGCTGGCCCTCCACCTCTTCTCCCTTTCCCATCTCTCCTGAAGAGCTTGTAGCCATCCAGTGCAGTGCCCTAGCCATGTGAGTCATCCCACCATGTTTCTATGATGGCAATTACATCATAGCTTTGCTGCTGCACCATGGCCTCCAGCTCTCCTGGTTTGTTACCCATGCTATGTGCACCTCAGCTGGGCTGCTGATTTTGCTCCTAACTCAGGCGTACCACCCTTGGGCCTGCTTCCAGAGAGCCCAGCAGCATCCCCTTCCCCCTTCAAACATATTTTAAAGCCCTTGCAATGAGTTCTAGCAATTCATGAGCTAAAATCCTTCTGCCCATAGCAGAGAGATGGAGCCCATCCAGTTCCAGCAGGCCAGGTGCCATAAAAGTTGCCCCATGATCAAAGAACCCAAAATTCTGCTGATGACACCAACCCTTGAACCACTTCTTGATAGTGTGAGCTCTCCTATTCATTCCTTTCATGGTTTTTCTCTGCCACCAAAAGGACCTGTGCTCCTGCCCTATCAACCACTTGACCCAGTGCCCTAAAGTCTCTTTTAATTGCTCTGACATTTGTCTTTTCAATCTCATCACTGCCAGCTTGGAGTATCAGCAGTGGGTAATAATGAGAGGGCCAACTCAGCCCAGGAAGTCTCTCAGTAATATGCTATAACCATGCCCTAGGAAGGCAGCAGATCTCCCTGAGGGATGGGTCTGGCCAGCATAGGGGGCCCTCTGTTCCCCTCAGAAGGGAGTCACCCACTACAACTACCCTTCTTTGCTTTTTGATGTTAGAGGTGGTGATCACTCACAGATGACGTGCAATTGGAAGGCTCACTGGGCAGATCATTTTCTTCTACATCCTCTGGCTGACCCTCTAGATCGAGGGCCTCATATCGATTCTGAAGTGGCACCTGGCTAAGGGATAGGGGTTGGGAGGAATTTTTATTATTACCTCTCCGAGTAGGAACCCATTTCCACTCCTCTTCATCCACCAGGTGTCCTCCTATCACCTGACAGTGGGAGGCATGGGAGTCCTCTGACTCCCGGTGGGCCTCCCTCGAGGATGGAACGCCGGAACTCCTCCAATCCATTTCCCTTTCACTTTCCCTAATACTCCTTATCCTTTCTACTTCCTCCCTAAGCTCGGCCACCAGCGAAGGAGGTCGTTCACCTATTCACACTGCAGGCAGGCTTCTTTTGCAGCGGCCTCTGGAGCCACTGATAGGCTCAAACACTCCATAAAAAACAAAACAAAACCAAACCAACCAACCAACAAAAACACAACAAGCAACAAACTAAAAACCGCACTAGCAGGAGGAAGCCTGCGACCCTGCCTGCACGAACGGCCGTGCCATGCCCCCGTTGGCCCGCTCCCGTTCTCCGCGCTCCCCAGAGCCCTCTTCTAATCTCCCCGCCGCTCGCCGGAGCAAAGCCCCGCCCTGCGCTGGCGTGGCTAACGAGAACCAAGGATGTGAATTGCTACTAATTTCCTTTCTGTTTTACAGCTGCAGAATGCCTCAAGCCCTGGGCAATAGCAGTTCACAGGAACAGGCTGCTGTGTATTATGCATCAGAATCAATTGTCTGCATTGCTATCTTCACCATCGTTTTCATCATAGGTATCCCAGGCAATGGGGTGGTGATCTGGGTAGCTGGTCTGAAAATGAAAAGGTCTGTGAACACTGTCTGGTTCCTAAACCTGGCTGTGGCTGACATCATGTGCTGCTTGTCCTTGCCATTTTTCATTGTTCACCTGGCCCTTCATGAACACTGGCCTTATGGCCGGTTCCTCTGCAAAGTCATTCCATCAGTCATAATCTTCACCATGTTTGCTAGTGTCTTCCTACTCGTGGCCATCAGCATTGATCGGTGCCTCCTGGTGATGAAACCTGTCTGGTGTCAGAACCACCGAACAGTGAAATTTATATCGCTCATATGCAGTGGCATTTGGATGCTGGCCTTTATTTTCTGCTGCCCTGTCTTCTACTACCGTGAGACAAGCACTTACGAAGGCAAAACAGAGTGTGGGTACAATTCTGGAGTTGATGATTACATAGATGATCCTGTAAATGTATCTGTAAATGTGTCTGTAAATGAGTTATGGGACTACTCAACCTACAATGGTAGTGACTTGTGGGCAGACATCAACGAAGGTAATGATTCTGTACCCCTTGCCTCAGCAGTAATAAACATCACTAGGGCTGTCTTTGGCTTTTTGCTGCCCTTTGGCATAATGGCAGTTTGCTACGCCCTCATTGTTTTCAGAACACATGCAAACCAGTTTCACAAGTCACGCAACAGGACACTGCGAACAATTGTGTGCGTGGTAGCAGCATTCTTCATCTGCTGGGCTCCATACCATGTAGTTGGGATGCTCTTCGTTGTACCTAGCCTTCGAACAAGGCTGATGGAGTCACTGATCCTGTGGGACCACCTCTCTACAGCACTTGCATACACCAACAGCTGCATCAACCCCCTGCTTTATGTTTTTGTGGGACGGGACTTCAGGGCAAAGGTGCGGCAATCGATGCAAAGAATCTTGGAAAGTGCCTTTAGTGAGGAACTCACATCTTCAACTCTTCACAAAAGCCAGACTTCAGCAGACAAGAACCTGAGCAGCACCTTGTAATGCAGGACTTCCTATCACCACTGTAGAAGGAACAAGCTATAGCGCTGCACATCAATCACTCTCTGCTTAGCAGGTGGTTTTGTTCCAATATGTTTGATTAATCTGCAGCTCCAACCTAGGACCCTGCAAGCATTCAGCTCATGACAGATATATCCTACACTAGAGAGATGGGAAGTTGGAAGCACCAAGAGCAATAATCTGAGGGATGACTGGTGAAGCAGAAGACACAGTATTTTAACCTACACAGACTATTTTAAGAAAGCAGGGCTGGCTACAGATTTGTGGTGGGAATCATGTAGTTGAACCTCTCAGTTGAGATAAGAATGTTATTTTATTTGCATATATTCGTCTGTGTTCTACATCTCCTGTGTCTGATAAAAGTGCAGATAAAACTAACTGGGATATTGGTCCTCAGAAGGTAATCACGTCACTCCTCTGACTCTACTAGGGGTCTGAGGTGTGTAGGAATATCTGGAGATTCCCTAGAGTACTACTGCATTTCCTTACAGCCAGGCACTAGAACAGCACTTGCCCCAGTCAGCTGCATTGAACTGACTTTTGTGCCCTGGCAGATACCCGATCTATTTGTTTGTCCTGGCACATACATCACTGTATGGCAGTAACTCGTCAATGCACATGCTGTACCTATGTTCAGTAGCATGTGCACACTCGCTGTCTCCCCAACACTCCCTCCACCACCAGTGTCCCAAATCTTCCTTTTAGGAAGCAGTTTGAGATTATCCAAATGTACCTACCGTATTTTGAGATGGTACATTAATAGAATTTGAGCAGATGCAGTCACTGATGACCCAGATTAGGGGACTGCTGGACTGTCAGCCATTTGGCAAAACCCTGAAACTGAGAAGTGATAACCTCCAATCTGACCCCAAGAAGGTAGAGAATGACCATGTTGTGGCTCAGTCATGTCAAGCTCTCCTTACAAGAGACATGTGTTTCTTATGTCCTTCCAGCAGAGAAAAAGTTTCATCCAGTCAGGCTATTTGGGGTGTTCCCAAGGTTCAATGTTCCCTGCTCCTAAAAAGCAGAAATAGATTTACTAGGTACTCTACAGAAGCAGTTTAAAAATCTGCTTTTCTGTGTCAGTTCTTCCTTAAAAGAGAAAGGCCAACAAACAGTAAGACAGATAGACACTAAGCATTGGTAGAGTTTTCACTCTGCCTTTCTGGTGAGCATGAATGGAAAGATTTCCAGATCTCACCGCCCTGAGAATAGCCAGCTGGGAGAACCTTCAGCTCTTAAAATCCTAAAAAGTCTCCATCTCAAGAACATCCATTTAGCCACGTCCACACCCAAATTCTAAGGTGGGAACCAAGCCATCCTGACAGGCGCCGCTGAAAGAAAAAAATCAATACTGGCACCAAAGCAGTTAAACCATAAACATTCACTTTTTCTTTTTATTAAGAAAGCATGCACAAAAATAAACTCGTGAGACCACGCCCCTCTCTCCCTGACCACTGACACAAAGCACTGGGGGCCACATTAGGCTGGAGGGGCCTGCAAGACCCCTCTGTGGGCCAGGCTGGCCCCCCTGCCCTGCCTGCAGGCCGGTGCCAGCGCACCCGCAGAGCTCCACACCCACCCATCGATGTCTTACCACGCACTAACAACACACATTGATTTCAGGGGCAGAGGAACGAGGCTAATTTGCACACTGACCGGCATGTATTTACATATGCAAATGAGGCACAACTTAATACGCAAATGAGGCAAATATGCAAATGAGGAGCACTTGGATACGCAGAAGGAGCCATCTTGGTTTGGTTTGCTTCCGGTGGTGTTTTCAGACTTCCACAGGGCCGGCTCTCAGAAATGTCCACTGCAAAACACTAACTGGCACCTGCCATAAGTTGTCTCTCGTTGTCACCGGTGCCACTTTCCACAGAAACCTATCACACTTGCTTCCAAAGCTGTATCATTCCCATCCTGAGGCAGCAGAGATAACAGCTGACTCCATGTTGAAGCTGTCTGGGATTCCTCATTTCTCTTGGAAATGCTCAACGACGAACTCCCCCCCAAACTCACACTTAAACAAAACAAAAAAAAATCCAAAACAAAAAAAAAAAAAAAAACCAACAAAAAATCCCAAAAAAAAAGGAAAAAAAAAAAAAGTGCTGTTCCCCCCTTCCAATGTAATGAGACCCTGCTTCCCTGACAACAATCCAATTTCCAATTGGTTTATCCCTACAGCAAATTTAAAAAGCAGTGCTAGTTCCCCACCTTCCTGCAGTCAGAAGAGAGGTTATTACTTTACTCCTGTGCTCCAGGTCTGTCAAGAAGCCATGATAGTCTATTTCCACATTTGTTCCCTTCACTGGTAAATAGGGAATAAGGGCTGGGGGGAGGCTTTATAAAATATTAAGAAGAAACAAGAGATTTGACAGAACGGAGCCATACGAGAAAAGAAGGGGAACACAGGACACAACTTTGGGGAGGAAGCACCTAAATGCTCACTCCCATTCCTGCATCTTTCCCACCTTCCTGATTTGCACATGCTGACAAAGCTCATCCTTCAGGATTTACACTAGGTTACATCATCTCCCCAGCTGAACTGCAAGGGGTCCAAGACACCTTCCTCCCTTTCATACTACACTCTTTGGTTGGTCAGTTCAAAACCCTGCCCTGCTTCACCCTCTCCCCTAATGCCCCTCTTACAAAAACTGCTTGCAGGGGCCTCTCAGTCCCTGATCACAGGGTTCAGCCCTTGGCCAGCAGCCCCCTAGTTCAGCCCCACTCTGCCCACCACAAGCCCATTCACCAAGTGGGAACCACTGACGGAGGATGTGCACCTACAAAGCCAGACTCCTGTTGCTGGCACTCTCAGCCACAGGCAAGGACAGCCTCCAAAGAAATAGGAGGGGTGGAGGATCAAACAACAATTGGACAAATACTGATGAGAGAAAACTTCCAAATTTGCATATAAAAGGGAGAGCCTCACTACATATTTTGAAAAAAGGCTTGAAAGGGTGTGGGGTGAAATGAAAAGCTCTGGGGAACAGAATTTGCTGAATCACATGTGACACCCCTGACTGCTTCTTTTACCTGATGGGTATGTAGGCTTCACCTAGAGACTGCAAAAGGCAGTGTAGGAAATGGGTCAGGATTCCCTCAAAATCTCTGTCTTCACAGATGGGACCACATTCTGAAACCCAACTTCTCTGCTGAAACACCGTATCTGCTACATTCTCCTTTCTCCAAACTCAGGTCTGCCCTCCCAGCTCAGCTCAGCTCTCCCTACCTCAGGGATTACCCTCTCTTTGTACTTGGGAACACCACTTATTTTCTTGCTGTTCCTGCTGGTGCAACAAAGTTCACAGAGCTAAGATCACCCCTCCAGTGTCCCTTCAGCCCCCTGACCTTTACAACATTTACGAAACAACATAACTACAGGCTCCCAGGGTCCACTAGGCTCTCTCACTCCAGTAGCCAATACGACAGATTCACCGGCCACCTTGAAGGGAAAGAGGGATTGTTAAACGCAAAATAACGGAGGCAGAGAAAGATGCACTCGAGGATTCAGCCTTCCAAGGTCTTTTCATGGCACCAAGGACCCATCTTCCCACCCTCCACAGGGCACTGCGCAACATGAAAGAGCCGATCCGATGCGTCTGAGGCCACCGGAGGAGGGGGAGGGCTGTGCTCAATTATTGGTAATAATAATAATAACAATAATAATAATAAACAAAAGAAGAAAAGAAGATAAAACAGGACGCAAGGAAGGATTATCTTCGGCAGCATCTTGCGGTGGCTTCTCTGGCGGAGATAGAGAATATATATCTATATACAGGCAAGGCAGGGAGGCTGGGGAGGGTGGTGCTGACACCATTGACCCCATGTCCCCCTCCCCTCCCACGTCCTTCGAAAAGGACGGGCTATCAAGTCTGTAACTCGCTAGGTGATTAAGTCCCAGTCGAAATCATCGGGGATTTCCTCATTGGCGCCTGGAGGAGGCCCTGGAGGCCGAGGGACCAGATGATGAGCTGAGCCAAAAACAAGAAAAAAGAAGAAAAAGGAAAGAGGAGAGTTAAATTCTAAAACAACATGTTTCTTCACAGTGGGTCCTTGGGCAAAAGAAATCAAAAGTGATTTGGGCCTTCTCCTTTCCAACAGTCTAACAAGCAAGAACACTACAGGCATTAATCTCTGTCAGCATCTACCAGTGTGTGGGAATGTTCTGCTGTGAAATTCTCCACAGCAGCTTCTACAGAAGTTACGTTTCAGCCTCCTTTACTTACCTCATAGCTGACTGCTGATAGAGCACCAATGACTTCATCAACAGAAGCTTCTCATGTACAGCTAGCTGTCTTTGAACAACTAACTGAGGGTAAGGCTAAGCTAGAAGACTGCTTATGTGAAGTGAAAGAAATCCGGCCTTTGAAATCCTAAACCTTCCCAGAGCTATAACACAGCCCTGAATGGAGGGTCCCTTGCAGTCCATGCTCCCTCTCTACCCACAGTGCTCCATTTGATTACTAAGTGCTTTGGGAGAAATGCACCAAGGGGTTGGGAATCAGTTCTTCAATATTCATTGGTGTAATATGCCTTAACATCACCCCTTACCTGGGCGATTATATCCCGGAGAGTCCTGGGTAGAAATCTGGTACATAGGAGATGGCCCGGAGAAGAGATGGGGAGGCTGGGGCTGACCATAGGAGTTCACTGTGAAAGGAAATGAATTAAGAAAACAAAAAACCAAGTGTTAATGTTCAGGTCAGAAGTCTTGGCCCTGACTGGGGGGCAGCTCAGCCACAGAGCAACTCACTCAGACCCACAGGATACTGAGGAGAGGTTCAGCTGTTGAGTCCTAACTCCAAGCTATAGCTTGGTCAGGGATCTTGTTCTTGAAACCAGCAGGAGTTTCTATATTATTGTAAGAGAAGAAAATTTTCATCCAGAAACACCACAAGCTGGCTCAATATCATCCACTTAGTTCAGTACTAGATTACACACACCATTACAGTTCTATCAGGACCACCATATCCCCTCCTCAGAATGTATCCCCTTCTCCTCTGTACAGTATTTCTCCAACAAGGGTGCAAGAGCTTTTTCTTTTACTGTTCCTGCCATCTGGAATAGCAAACTCTCTATCTTGCCATTCCTCTTTGTTTGTCACCTAAAAAAACACCTCTTCTCCTCTTCCAGGTTTGCCTTTTAAATATATTCCTGCCTGGAGGTTGCCTGTCAATAGCATGCATCACGTAACAGCAGTCTGTCCAGACCACGGGCATCAGACATCCCAGTTCTTTAAAGCCAGAGAAGGCTAAGTTCCTATGAACAGCTC